ATAGATCTTCTCTGTATATTGTATTTATAAAAACGCAATTTGTTTTATTGCAGAAATGCAGGTAACTTTGAAAGTAATATTAGTAAATAATAATAAACACACATTTTTTTTTTTTTTTGGTGGATATTATATCTTAATGTAAAAAAATCTCTTTTTTTCTACTTTCTTCTCTCTCTTTCTTTTCTCTAAACTTTAGCGGTTAATGTTGGAAATTTGTTAAAACGTTAGAAAATAAAAAGACTTGAAACTTGAGTTATCGTTTTGCAAAAATGTTTGGTAGAAGATGACAAGCTTTTTTTATCACAACTATACATAAAAAGAGCCAATAAAATTGTTTAGCAAGTACGTAACGTGCACACACTATATTCATATTCAAAACTATTTTTCTTGCAAAGTATACAACGAATAAAAAAATCTATGTTTTTTTAGCCTATATTTCTTCTACAAGCAATTATTTCTTCATATATAGCACTATGATTTACTGAACACCCTGTACAAGTCACGCTATTCTGTTATATTTTGATAGATGTGTAATTAAGTCCCATACTGAATCATAAGTGGTAGATCGGTCATAAAACATTGGGGAACCTTGAGGGTTCCCTCCGTCACGAGTGATGGGTTAGCCACAAGTACAGCATCTATATCTACCAAGCAGACTCAACTGCCATATTATTATGCGGAAGCTGCTTATTTGCAGTAACAGATCGTGGATTTTTTATATTGATCACAGATTACATAGCGTTATCTATGTATTTACTTTACGCTAATTGTAAGTGACATATGTTGAGACGGGCTATTTTAAAAATTTTATTAGCTCTCTCTCTCTCTCTAATACAAGTTAGAAAGCAAACTTGATAAAGTAAATTTTGTTGAAAAACGTTCCGTTGAAAAGTAAAAACTACGTTGATAACTTTAATCAACTTTGACAATCGAATCGAATATAACGATTTGTTCTGTCCATTGCTTTAGTCCCAAGACAGTTATCATTCGGGAGCTGTCGGTACTTCGAGAAATGACTCTGCAATGCGTAAGTGAGGGAATACCTAAAGAGTCCTCTGAGAGTTTTTTAGCGGGAGCGTGAAAAAGAGAGATAGGATTAAAGGACATTTGAGTGGCGATTGCATAATATAGATGTATCGGTTTTAAATGTTATCAATTTTGTTAATTTCAATTATTCAGTATCTTTAACGAACCCCAATATTTTCTCTGATATAAACAATCTACGAGAATTATCATCAAAGAAAAAAAAAAAATTAATCCGCTTATTAATGTAGATATTTATTTTACATAAAATTATATTATTTTTTTGATGCATGTCTTCTTCGCCTTTTAATATAATCATTTATAAAATTACTACGTACTTTCATGACCACTAATGTTTTTTACCCGAGAAAGGATATTCGCGTTACCGATACGACGTACTGCACGTAATTATCTTAACGCGCGATAATTTCGAGATTTTTCAGGAAAATTTCGAGCGCGGTAAAGCGAGTTCAGCCAGTGCTCGCAAGCGTCGGCTCGATTATCGCAACTAGGGCGTCGCGACGCGGACGATAAATAATGCGACGCTAATAAACCCGGCCGCGTACACGGCGCGCACGATGCAATTTCACGTGGGAATGCGCTCCTCTTTTTTTCCGCGCGAGGCGACGTCGCGCGGTGCGCTGCACCGCGTCGCGGCGCGGCACGGCGCGGCGCATTGCTCGTTGTTGCATGAAACTGTGTTGAGCGGAAAAGCGATGCCGACTTATGCAAACGACGCGCTTAACGAACACTATGAAAGTAATACAACAACGTGTGAGAAGCCGATCATTGGATTTTTATTACATTATTTAAATACTCCATTCTCTCCTCTCTTTCTCTCGCGAAAATTATAACGAAAAAATTCTCCCTCTAAAGTTTTAAGTTTAATTACGATTCACAGTTGTTTTCTTTTTACCTAATTCACAATTTGTTTCTTTATTTTTCATTCACTTTGCCTCGATATTTTTTTATCTAATCTCTTTTATAAATTTTTTCTTTATTAATGTTCAGTTTTTTTTTTTTTTTTTACATAAGAATATTGTTTATATGTAATTGGCACAATAGATTATACATATATATTTGTTTCAAATTATTTATAATTATTCCCTAAAATTTATATATTTATATATATTTCACCAAGAATTTTATAAAATTTCTTTCACTAGAAATAAAATTAATATTTGTAATTGAATAATATTTTTTAATGAAATATATTTCGCGAATAAAATGCCGTTATCAAATGCAATGGATCAATAAACTATCCAAATATTTAAAATATCGCGACAATTAAAATATTGTATAAAAAGTCCACGATTTTGCGGAACAGTTCACCCTTATCGTTTTTTCATTATTATCTCGTAAAAAAAAAAAAAACATTATTTTTGTTCGCGTTTATTTTCCGAGAAGCGAAATACTTTAAATTTACAGTGAAATTTAATAACTCGCCGAACGCAGAGGGAATTTATATTTTTGTTAATTAATGCGCGGCTCACATATCTAACTAGCGTTATTTCTGTTTTTCTTTGAGAGTTAAAAATTAAATGCTCACAAGCATTAAAAGGTGAAATATTTTTATCTAATTATCAGGTGTATTCACATATCAAAGGATTGATAAATACGGCGAAATTCGACAATATCGTTGTCAATTGCATCACATAAATAAATATCGCGTCTTGTCTAATTCTATCGTGAATTTTCGATGATTGATGATACCGCGCGAGTATGCTAAACTATCAGAATGGCTGCTGGGTTAATCGATAACAGTATTTATTTACAGACAATTGTATGTTTAACTGTCGTATATCATTGTTGTCCAGTTATCCCTGCTTGCAACTACGTTATTTATTGGCGATATCACGAAATGCGAACTTTTGAATGTGTAATCCTGAACATTGACATTACTAAAAGTTTTAGTGATCATCAGTAAAAAGGGAGAGCGAGAGTCCATAAAAATATACATATAAAAAAATGTTACATGTTCATTAAAATTTATTTTTGCTAGTAACTATAATTCTGATATGAATCGAGTACGCTATAATTCTTGGATTAATTTCAAGCGGTCTTTAGGTCGGTAAGATTTTGATTTGAAGTTTAGTTGTTAACTCTTTCGCTCCCACTGTAAACTGCAGTTTATGTCTACTTCACGATTTATTCCCGCTGCGAGAAGATCATTGTGAGCCTTTATTGCCCATTGTGAAGAATAGTTTGCAGATGCCAGTAACACTTCTTCCTGTTACACTGGTTCTCAAATATACTCGCGGAAACACGTGCCGGAGTACCTCATGTCATAATGTGCTAACGTAACGTGGAGTTATTTACGTTGTATAAAATGTGAGTTATGTGCATATCAAGTTTAATCAAATAAATTAAAGATCTGTCAAAATAAAGTCTATTTCAAATTAAACGAAGAAATAGATTTATTTATTATTTCTTAATAAAAATTTCTTTCGAGACAAAACCTATCGCATTTTTTCAATTTATATATATATATGTTATAACATATCATTACGCTGGCATATGAGTAAGATTTTTTTTACATTAATATTATCAGATCATAAGATTATCACATCAGATTATTAGGATTACGTTAAATTTAAATAAATATTAGATATGATGTTGCATATTTTCTAATTATACCTTCTCGATATTTATGAAATAAGTTTATCAAATTTAAGTAACGTTATCACATTTTTGTTATAAGAATATTGACTTCCCATTTGTCAATATACGTGACAATGTGATACTTGCATCAGTATGCATCGTAACACGGCTTTGGGTTGCAGTCTCACGAATACTCGGAGATTTTTAGAACAACGTAAAAACCTTCATGCCTTCGTCTCTCAGAGCCTCCTCGGATTCTCTCCGTCTTCTCTTTCTCTCTCTCTCTTTTTCTCTCGCGAGAATTACGAAATCCCCTAACACGTCGCGAATAATGCACACCGGTGCATCCGGGATGATGCGGATACGCGAATGCGTGCATGCGTGAATACGTGCGTACGTTTCATGTCTCGTCACTCGTTCGCGCGCGATCGAGTTTACTCGCTCGCGCTCGCACAACATGTCTACGCGCGCGTCGGCTCGCTGAAATTTAATTTGTCTCGACACAAAACTGGTTCCGTCTCCATTTTCTATGCTCTTCCTGAAATACACAGTCTGATGCGAGGATAAGCCAGAAATCGGAGCAAAAAGCGAAAATCGCGAGAAATAAGAAATAAAATCAGAAATGTATCTCGTACGAGATATCGAACTTTTTTTGTTTACGAGATCAAATCTTGACTATTTGGAAGAAACGAATAATAATTAATTGGCGAATTATGAAATTTGTACTCGGTAAGTAAGAGCGGCTTGCATTAGCAAGAACAATCGGCATTTACAAAATAAATTTTTGCAAAATTATTTTCTTCTTTCTTTATCAGTTTTATCTTTTTAACAAAGTATGATTCCGCAGCTGTGTTCACATATAATGTTTTCTTGTTTCTAAAATATGCTATCAGAGCTTGCCTATTAAATTTAGAATACGGTTCGTACAATTTTGTATTTTATGATAATTGTATATTTATTGTGTGTGTGTGTGTGTGTGTGTGTGTGTGTTTGCGCGCACACGTTAATACAAGAGTGCATGCATTTGTAACTGCGTAAATCTTAAATCTTTCAAAATAGACAGTCGATCGCTGCTCACGTAAGTTCATAAATCGAAAATGGACGGTATCGCTTTGTTTCTAGCCAAATATTTAAATATTTCATCTTTCCGTCCTTAAATAAAATAGCAACGTTGTTACTATCGGCTTTTGCACGTATTGAGAGGCTCTGTGACCGAAACGAAAATGCTCGACTAGAGTATTCAATTCATGAGAAAAAGTAGAGATATTTATTTGTTAGCAGCATACGATATCGATCGTGTGTTTATTAACTATAAAATAAAATATCTAAAAATTAGTGTGCATGCTATATAATATAAATGCACAGATCCAATATATATATGCCATATTTTAAATATTGGTTCTTTAATTATTTAAAAATCTTTTCTTTTTAGCAAAAAATGTTGAAAAACATCAAAGATCGTACACATAATGCGTAAAATATTTCGTGGACATGATGAAAAGACATTTAATAATAATATTTATTATAATAAGTTTGTTATAATAACAAAATTTTATACTGTGTATTATATTTGTATTTTTCACGGAAAAATCTTTTTAGATCTTCTTTCCACTAATAACGAATGAAATTTATTGTATTAAGCATGATTTTTTTGCATTATATCAAACTATGAAAATTCGATAATATATGATTATAAAATTCGTAGATATCTTAAAATTAATCATTAAAAATTATTGCATTTTCAATTAGGACTTTCATAATAAAAAAATAAACACAGCAGTGAAGTATTGCAAGGCAGGGGAGGGGAGGTGAGGAAAGAATGTCGATGTGTCTAAAGTATCCATACACTTTCTGCATCTCTATGCTCGATGTCTTTATCCATAGATCTCTATGCATACGCTTGATCGAAGGACGCAACCAAGAGTATGGCATCCTTGGATGCATTCTCGCGGAGGCTAATGTACGAACATTCGTGCATTCGTTCTCCGTTTTATTTATTCGTACTTTTATTTCCGAGATAAACTCTCCTCTTGCCTTCCATCCATGACGTCTTCCTTCCAGCAGATTTCCGTCTTATTGTGTCGCCTAGCGTTTCTCTGATAAGAGAAACGCTCGTGAAAGCAATGTCGAAGGAAGACGCGCGTCGGCATTTCTGTTTGAGAGATTCCGTTAAAGAACAAGTGTGCGTTAATAATAATAATAAAAGTGAAAAAAAGAGAGAAAAATAAAAACAACAATAATGAAGATAAATAAAACGGATAGCAATTTAATATTTATAATAATAAAAATAAATTTAAAGATTCTTCTAATATAAAACAATGAAACTGATATCTACATATAGTTCCGCTTTAAACAGATGAATGGTTGAATGTAATTTTGCAATAACAGATAATCAATTTACTACAGCTGTTTTTAGAAAGAAAAAAACGTCAAAAATAAAATTTTGTTTAAATATCTAAGTATTAAAAAATTATCCCTGTATTATGATCTACATTAAATTTTTTTTTTTGAATAATATGTTAGATTTTGCATATCAAAAACATGTCATTGCATAAAATTGATATCCACATATAGTTCCGCTTTAAACGGATGAATGGTTGAATATAATTTTACATGTACAAGAAAGTATAATCAATTTTTTTTCTACAATTGTTTTTGAGAGAAAAATGTCAAAGGTTGAAATTTATTTAAATGTTTAGGTATCAAAATATTATCACTGTATGAATTAAGCTCCATATAAAATTTTTGAATATAATATATTAGATTTTGCATATTATGTCATTACATATCAATGATAAATCTCATTGTGAAATTGCACGAATGTTCGTCCTGTATATAATATAGAACCAAGTATCTTGATATAACACTGACCTTAATTAACACCATGCGAAGATCTCTCGATCTATTCGATGATTTGGGTTGAGATTTCGAAAAACGACATTCCTCGGGAGCATTGGATTAATATTCGCGACACGTTCCGATATGCAGATTTATACGCCTGAGTACAAAGTACCGCGATTAATTACAATCGCATATTACAATTGCATTCAGCACACTTCTGATACTCGTATCCGCGATTTATTTTCGACAAGTAGCGATCACGAGAAAAACACATATAACAGATTTTGCGACCCGATATATACATATATTTAACACTCCCGATATTAATCTGTACATATACAATGACGCGTAAAAATTACGAAAATGTGGATATATATATGGTATGTCAAGTACGTAATATGTATAAAAAGTGTACGCGACAATAACTAAGGCACTGATCCCGGGCTTGTACAAGGTCAAACTCTCGGGATCAACAGCTGTGTCCGCGCGTTATACGTTGTTAAGTTATGTTATAGGTTATAAAATATACTGTGTATAATTATGATTCGACATCACCATCACATACATATAATTATACGCGTGTGATATATGTAATTCGATACTTTCGACATTAATTTACACGTATTACCGATATTTAGCGAGTAAAATCATGATAATGATGAAATATATACATATGTACATACTTGTCGTCGCCGGATTATTCCGACATTCATCATCAAAATCTAATACTCCCGATGCTCGATTGGACTACGCTTCGACATTATTTAACACTTTGCGATAACGACACGATGTTTAAGTCGGCACTCCCGATATTAATACGTACGCAGGGCTTGCCTCTTTATGACGAAAGTCTGCGGAAACGTCCTCACTCAACGGCGTCGCGAAGACTAATGACGCGATGGCGCCAATTTTCTTGCGGTTTGAAGTTGCACCCAGTTGTATTTGATCAAGTATTCTTCGATATTAGAGAGTATCCCGTGTTGGAATTGCATTAATTAATCCGATATAAAGATCGTCCGATACTCGCTTTTTCCACAACGTTAATTCGTGAATACAAACTCCCTTTGATTTGTAAAAATTGTGCGAATCGTAAGATGATTAATACGGTGGTGATTTTCGCGGTATTCTTACGCCATAAATTAATTCTACGACACTAGAAGTGTACACCACTTGCAAAATTGTTTCGAAGCGTTTGATTGGCCAATCAGGATAGGGACATTTTGATTTCTTTTTTCCTGATTGGTCAATCAAACGTTTCCAAATATTAGAGCATGAAGATAAATAAAGTGTAGTTTAGTATCAAAGAGAGAAAGAGAGAGAGAAAAAGAGAAAGTAAAGACATCTTTACGTTTCTCGAGAAATTTGGTTGATGAAAAAGAATTATGTATGACGTAATATTGCGTATGTCGTGTAATATCGAATACGCCTAATAAAATATCATGCGATCACATAAAGTGTTAATTAGTATCGATATTTAATTGAGCAGGGAGTATTAAATTACCCATCGATTGTTAAAATATTTGATTTCACGGTAAGTAAACTTTAGCTATTATATTATCACATCATATTGTCATGTTATTCTCGATGTTGTTACGTTAATCTGGATTTTATTAATTATTATATATTAAATTTATCTCTTAATTGATTACAATATTATCCTATATATATTTAAATGATTATATAACGTTACGTATTCCCCGAAACACTTTTCATCTACGAATTTTCCGATGAATCACACAGAATTATTTCTACAATTTTTTCAAATTCATTGTTTTATAGAAAACAGAAATTATTATGTTAATTATTATTAATTATCGTAAATTACGGATTGATACATGAAATGGTGATATTGTATATATTATACGAATAGATGTACTTCCACTTGGCATGTACAAATATTTCGTAGCGTTTGCTTGATTAATCAGGACAAGGAAATTTTGTTTGCTCTCTCCGTCCTGATTGGTCAATTAACGCTTTGGAACATTTGTAACGTCAAGCTAGGAGATTCTATGGTATATAAAAGTAACATATGTAAATGGTAATATAACATTTCGTGTACCATATGACATACGATATTTATTTAATGATATAAAAAAATTTCGAATGTGCAGGTACATTCTTAAAAAATACTCAAAGGCGAATTGGAAAAGTACAGCACCTTTATATCTGAGCTAATTACTCTATAATTCACGCGATTTTTGCGGATTAAAGTGATCGTGTAACCGCGAATTAATTAATGGAGCGCCGAATCGAGCATCGAACAACCACTGTATCTGGTTAATTAGCGCGATTCCAGTATACAGAATGCATTATTAATCGAAAATTCGCAGCGGTCGAATGCTAGTTGCAAATTCAAACCGTGAAGTTGCCGCTAATGTTGTCATTAACCGTTGTGTCGTCGCAGAGTAAAGACGTCTCCGCGTTTCTCGCGTCGTGAAAGTGAATCGTATTAATATATACCGATAAATCGTTACAAAGTATTAAACAGCGTCGAAGTGTAATCTATCTGAGAGTATCGGAAGTATCAATATTAGATCGATGATGAATATCTCTCGGAACATCCCGGCGAGAAATCTAATGGCAAGTAATTTCATCATTATTATCGCGTTCCGCGCTTTGCTTGTCTTGCTCGGCAACAATACGTGCAGGAATTAATACCGGGGATATCGAATTACTAATATCGAAAAGATCCAACTGCTATTACTTTATCATGTATCGCGCGATTGTTATAAAATCGCTGCGCATTTTATAACGTAAGATAAAATGTGTGTTTTTGGTGTGTTCGGGGCGCGGCGGTCGACGAACTTAATCTTAGCGTTCGCACGTAATCGAGATATCTCCGTATTCTGGTGATTTTTATGCGTCATCAAGTGAATCTTATATGCGCGGATTAATATCGGGAGTGCCGTGCTACTGAGAGTATCGTGCGATCTATTATATTATACTTTCATGTTCTTCCTGCGATTTTTAGTTTGTCGAAAATAAATCGCGCGTGTAGGAATATCGGGAGTGTCGAATGTAATCGTGAATATAGTCGCGATGCATTATTCAATTTATACGAATAAATTAACCGTTGTCGCGAGTGTTGATCTACTATTTTCAAGAAGGTTTTTCGTTTTTATTATCCTGAATTATCGAGTGTTACAGCTATCGATCATCAAGAGGTTTTTGCATAATTAAGGTTGGCATTTTATAATAATCAAGATATTTAATAATTACAATTACCCAAAATAAATATATTATTTTTTTTATATATAATCTTTATGAAATAGCGATTTTTGCAATTTAGTTTTGCAAAAAGTATAACGTGAGATTTGTCAATATTTTTAAATCGACTTGATGTATCAGAAGATTCTTTGTATCTGTATATTTCGCGCAAAAGTTAGAAAGATTGTAAGCGCACATATACATGAATGCATGCATGCATGTATATCCCACCGCACGTTTTCCCATAGCAATCAAACGACTAAGCCGATTATAGCAATCAATATGTCAAAAAATCATGTACGTGTCCTAGTACTGCGAACAATTGCAAATCGTTATTAATTCCGAATTCAACATGGCTGGTGTTTATATTTTTTAGCGATGTATGAAATCTCAAGTACCATATTGATGATATATTTTAAATAGATACATGCAATTTAATGACATAAAAGACAGAGTCAAAAAATTCTTGTATATATATGAATCTAAATATTTTAATTTTTGCAACATTTCTCTCTCTTTCTCTCTTTCTCTCTCTCTCTCTCTCTCTCTCTCTCAAGTCCAGTCATTTGGTGAAAACCGATTTAGAAAGTGTCCTACATTTATAACATTAATTTAATGAAATAGAGAGAGAGAGAGAGAGAGAGAGAGAGAGAGAGAGAGAGAGAGAGAGAGAGAGAGAGAGAGAGAGAGAGAGAGAGAGAGAGAGAGAGAGAGAGAGAGAGAGAGAGAGAGAGAGAGAGAGAGAGAGAGAGAGAGAGAGAGAGAGAGAGAGAGAGAGAGAGAGAGAGAGAGAGAGAGAGAGAGAGAGAGAGAGAGAGAGAGAGAGAGAGAGAGAGAGAGAGAGAGAGAGAGAGAGAGAGAGAGAGAGAGAGAGAGAGAGAGAGAGAGAGAGAGAGAGAGAGAGAGAGAGAGAGAGAGAGAGAGAGAGAGAGAGAGAGAGAGAGAGAGAGAGAGAGAGAGAGAGAGAGAGAGAGAGAGAGAGAGAGAGAGAGAGAGAGAGAGAGAGAGAGAGAGAGAGAGAGAGAGAGAGAGAGAGAGAGAGAGAGAGAGAGAGAGAGAGAGAGAGAGAGAGAGAGAGAGAGAGAGAGAGAGAGAGAGAGAGAGAGAGAGAGAGAGAGAGAGAGAGAGAGAGAGAGAGAGAGAGAGAGAGAGAGAGAGAGAGAGAGAGAGAGAGAGAGAGAGAGAGAGAGAGAGAGAGAGAGAGAGAGAGAGAGAGAGAGA